ATTTGTAAATGCCTCCTTAAATATATTGTGGCAAGGATACCTGGTTGGTAATAGGTGGAGTGCAGACAGCAATAGGCATCACGGAGAAGAACTTGGCCTCTTTTGTCTCATTTAACATTTTTCAAACATTTTATCCATTGACTCTTTACAAGACATCTTAAGGCATGTGTTTTAAAATGCTGTTTACATATGAAGAAACCAAGGCCCAGATAAATGAGGTTATATATCTAACTCACACAGTTGCAAACTTAAGAACAAGCTTGCCTTAGAGTTAGAAAAAGAAGGAAAGTATAGGTAGTGTGATAATAAAATACGGTGCCATTTTTATTTTAACTTTAGCTCTTCCATTGTTTGATTTTTACCTTGTTCTTTAATTCCATGAACAGTTACTGGGGGTTCACTGTGTGTTCCAGAGGTACCAGATACCACAGAGATAATCTCTTCATGAAACAGAAACAAGCTGAAGAAACATATGCCCCTGCTCCTGATACAGAGTCAGTGCAAAGGAAGTACAGAGAAGTGAGGGTGGGGTGGGCATGTTCGTGAAGGTTCAGATAATCAGGGAAGGCTTTTTGGTGGAGGCAGCCTTGGATTCCCTGAAATCAGGGGGACAGAAAATATATAAGAAAAGTCCAGGAGCCCCACATAGTAGCTGAGACAAGCCAACCAGGTGGATGTCTCCCACCTTCGTGACACTTGCACAATGCAACATCTAAGACTTAGTAATTTAGGAAACTGCTCTCTCTTGACCACCACAGTGGGGAAATTCTTAGTGATTTTTTAAAAAGACTTACTTGACTAAAATGCCTCTGTTCAGAATAATTACTGTGCCTATCACATACTCTGAGGTAAATTAACCTGTGGACACATGTCAGGTCTTAATATCCTATCCAAAGGCAAACAGTGAACAGCTAAAGTTGCTGAGAACTGCCTTAATATAGGAAGGCAAACAAGAATCCCACAGAGCACTTATGCCAGCTTAGAATGGAAGGAATAAGAGCTTCCATTTATAAAATGCCTACTGACTTTGATTATCTCTTGATACTACATATATACTTTTCCATTATATTGGGAAGTCACTGTCACATCGTCATTCTGCAGATGAAGTCTCACAGTGGTCCCCTGATTGTTTAAGGTGAAAACCAGTAGAAGTAGGAGAAGCAGGTCAGGAATTCTGATCTAGGTATGACATCTGAACTTTCATTATTCTCTCTCTCTCTCTCTCTCTCTCTCTCTCTCTCTCTGTCTCTCTCTCTCTCTCTGTCTCTCTCTCCATGTATGTGTGTGTGTTTGCACAGAGTGTGTGTTTGTGTGATGTTCTAAATTCTTCTGTGTCTCTGGGTCTCCAAATTCCAATCCTGCTTATATTGTCACGTTCTTTATCTTTGTCACTCTTTTCAAAGGCTTTCTACATAACTAGATTTGAATTTGGATCCTGGGCAAAGGCTTTCTAAGATAGAATTCTATTTGTCTAAGAGTGTGGTTTGGTGAGAAGAATGGTTAGAGCTTAGAGTTCATGTGGGCCTGAGTTCAAATTCTGGCCTGATTACTTTGCGTTTTATCTATGGGTTGTAAACACATCTTCAAGGCTGAGTTCTGATATCAAAATAAAGCTAACACAGTGGCTGATTTCTTACAAGGCTTGTTCTAAACATTAGATATGCTGGACACACAGTAGAGGGCAACTGGAAGTTTCTTTCATTTCCATCCTTTGTTAATTGGTAGAGAGTGTTCTAAATTCATTTTGGCATTGTCAACACCAACTGTAGGATGTTACACTTATTAGGAACTTAAAAAAAGCAGGGTGACCTCATCCTCCCCCTACTCTGAGAAGTCTAGGATCAGGTAAACTATGGCCCAGTAGCCTGATACTTTGTTTTTTGTTTTAGTGGTTTTTATTGAAAGAGAGTCATATTCATGAACACATTGTCTATGATTGCTTTATTCAAAAAGTCAAAGATTTTACTATTTGGTACCTTCTAGAAAGCTTGTGGACTTTAGTCTTATTTGCATATCTTTTCAACGAGGGTGAGTATTTGAAGGTTGTTTGGCTTTGAGGATAGAGAAATTCTTCTATTTCTTACACTCTGTATATTATCATGTGCCTTTATTTTATTTATATCTGTCTTAGCTTTTATTCATCCCATTTTTATGATATATGCTATTTTCTCTCGCTCCTACTAAACATTTATACATGAGTGAACTTCTTCCTTCTTCTTTCTTTCTTTCTTTCTTTTTATTTATTTCTTCTACATTTACTCCTAAATTCCTAGAACCTTGACAGGAGCCTGGCACACAATAGGCACTTCACTAATGAGTCCATTAGCATTGGCTTCATTGTAAGGGTTAGGTTAGACAAACCATGCTAGAGACTTTGTTTTGTGGACGATCTGGGGGACTTTAGAGAGAGTGTGTTCTAGACTTCTCTGAGATGAGTATCATCTCTTTTTCTTTTATCTGTTATGGAGGGGACAACTGAACTTCTGGTTTATTCATTGCTTCTTAAGGTGTAATATGAACACTGTCTAGAAAAGGACATTGTCATGGTGCCATTTCTAATTCAGGACATTAGTCTGGTGTCCCAGATGCTGCATTTGCCACAATCTCTTCCTACTGCTAGGATTGCTGGTCTGTGCCCTGAGTACAAAGGTTTTCACTCAGAATCTACCCTGGTACTTAGAGGAAGAAGGCTTTCATATTTGTGGAACATGGAGACCACAATTGTCTTTCATTCTTTTCTGATATTTTCTTAACTTTTATTTATGTGTATGTGAGAGTGTAGAAATGTGCATACTATAGCATGCATATAGAGGTCAGAGGACAACTTTAGGAGTGGGTTCTCTCCTTCCACTGTGGATTCTGGGCACCAATCTTGGATTCTCAGACTTGTGAGTGAGGACTTCATCCTAGTGAGCCATCTTGCTGACCCATCTTCTTTTTGTCAATCCTTACCTCTAAACAACTTGCCTCCAGACCTCACTTTCCATGGCTCCCCCACCTCTAGCATCTTAAGTCTCCTTAATGTCCGCCATTTACCCCATAACTCTCAGAAGTGACTTCCGTTGGAATTACCAGGTTGTCCCCTCACAGCTACCTCCGTTCTCTGTAGCATCTTCTACAGATAAAGACTTCTCCTCGTTTCTCCTATCATCTCTTTGCTTTGCTAACCTGCACTTCCTCTCCAAACCTCTGCCTGTAGACTGTTAATCATGATCAGTTTGGGAACCTCAGCCCCTCACTCTCTGCTTTGTTCCTATTCTTTTTCTAGTCTTAATTGCCCCACCCCATAGTCTCCTTGCCACCCCCAGAGGACGGTTCCAAACAGCCCTCTTGCCTAAATTCTACTTCTCTATTCCTGAGGTTGCCTGGGAAATTTTTACTTGGGAATTCTACCAGCTTCCTCAGACTAAATATATCTATAGTCATATTTATCTTCTTTGCTCACAACCATTTCTCCCTCCCCCAGATGTTTCTCTTTCCAGTATAAGCCACTCTCCCTCCTCTTCAAGGTTCATTTACGGATTAAGTACAATTTCCCTTTAGTATTGAGAAAAATAAGACTCTGAGTTCAGAAACATTCTCAAGGCTGCACAATAACTAAGATAAGACTTGAACCCAGTACTGCATGAATCCGAAATCTCCTTCTCATTCTATCACAACAGCTGCGTAGTGTTACATACACACATCTTTGAAAATGCAATTCAGACCAATGCAAATGTTAATTTCTCCAGAATTGGTAAATCTAACTCTAATTCCACTGGCAGGTATAACCATCCACGTTAATGTTCCTATACTATGTGCATATACCCAATTTTCAACTGTTATTTCATTATTTGTCCACGCTGATCTCTCAGATAGACAAAAGCACCACAAGGGTCCTTGCTATTTTTTCCATCCATTCTAACTGGAATGCAGTGTGCATGATCAATGCGTGTTTGCGGAATGAATGAACAGGTGAGGTAAGTGTACTAGGACCTTTGGTAGTAGAAGTGGAGGACACTGGTCCCTATGTGAATGATGGTGATAGTATTATCTTCTGTGCCCACAGCATGGCACTAACTGAGCAGAATGGGTGGGGAAGCCACCTTCTGATTCCATCTCCACCTGTGGAAGTTTCAGCGGAAGGCAATCGAGATGCAGGCTTTCTCACAAGGCTGTGTTTGCCAAGGGTAAGGGAAGACCTGGTTTACTAAGTCCTGGCATTCTGAGCTCTACTGCTATTTTTATGCAGGCTGAATATGTGATAAGTTCTCATATTCCTCTCTGAACCTCATTTTCCAAATCCAGAGAGGCATACTGGGAATATAGGAGTATTTTAGTGGTTTTCCAACTTTTTATCAACAAGGATCTATTCTATAAAGTTTCTCTCCTGTACCCCCATGTTTTGCAAAGCACTGATTTAGTAACAAAATCACTATATTTAGTAAGGGTAAAAAGCCAGCAGCCATCTTTAACCGTGAATGTGTGAACTGCTGAGGTGGCAAAACTAACGTGGAATGCCAAACAGGGAATTTCAGTTTGAAGCCAAGACCCCGGATGTTTCTGTCATCCTCCAGGCTGGATTTGGACCAAGTCTACCTGGCATAGTGGAAAGAGCTACTGGACTCTTCTATCCCTTGAGCCCCAAAGACTGCTTCCCTGAAGAAGTGCAAAGGGACCCAGAAGTTCTTGTGATCTGTGATTCTGTCTTACCTTCCCTCCTTCTGGAACTGAGGTGCTGCTCGTTAGAAACTGACACTCACAAGGGAGACCTCGCCCCTCACATCTCCAAGGGTATGAGGGCGAAACCAGGATGACAGAAACGGAATAGACACGAACAAGGACAGCGCGTTTGCAAACGTAAAAGCATCCATACAAAATAAAAGCTTCTGGACTACAGATGACTAGACAGAAGTGGATATGAGAGGCCAACAGACAATCAACCAGTTGGTGCAGGAGGAAACGCATGCTACAGCCTCTCTTACAGAGCACAAAGCAGTTAACACCGGCTCGATACTTACAAGTAATAGGAGTAGGAATAAGCATTTCTTCTATATATTGATGGGCAGTCAGATGAAGGAAATGTCCAAAAGGGGGGAAAAAGAAAAGACAAACAAAGAAGAATTAGGTTTATATGAAATCATGAATCTCAGAAATGCATATCATTTTAGTAACCCTAAGCTCAAAGAGATGCAGCATCTGCTTACACGTCAGCTACTATTAGTGGCGGAAGAAGTGAGAGGGCCCTCACCTCTGACAGAGGCTCCTCACCTCCTGCAGAGGAAGCCAAGGTTCTTGTGGCTGTCTGCACTGTTTGAAAGTTCTTCCTTGTGGGTAGCTAAAACAAACTTCCTTATAATGATGGACTTATGAAAGTCTGGGGTAGCTTTCTGTGGCCTCCTAAAAATAGACTACCAAACTTTCATATTCCATGTTCCTAGAATCCAAGCAACTACAGACACAGCAGCACTTGTCATCTCAACTATTCCACAGAAGATCATGTTCACATCAACTCTGTAAGAGGGCTTGCATGCCCGATACAGGGAAACAACCAGACAGCATCATTGCCAGCTCTTCAGGCACCCACATTTCCAGGCTCATGTGTAGTATCTAGCCCCCAGTAATGAGTCATGGATGAACCTGGGCGACAAATAAAATGTAGTAAGATTGTGTTCTTGGATTTCTAACCTGGGTATTAGAAAAAAGAAGCTCTGTGGTTCCTTTGTGCTGGACCTCTCTGTTAGATGCCTGAATGTCTGTGTAAGTAATTCAACTTCCCCAAAGCTGCCATGCCGGAGAGATCACACAGAGAAGCCCCGAGATTACAAAAAGGGAAAGAAACGACCAAGTATTTTCCAGTCCTTCCAGCCCAAGCTAGAGTTCCAACAAGTTATCTCAGCTGAGACCCTGAGTATCACAGAACAAATACGTTTCCTTCATGCCCTACGCAAAGTGAAGATCTAGGCAGAGTACAAAAATAGTAATTCTTCACATCATCAGGTTTTTTGAGAAGGAAGAATCATAACCCAAGGTGTCAACAGATCCCAACTTGAATAAACTCTGCCTTTATGTTCTCATCTACAGCTAATGATTTCCCAACTGTATTCCAGGATTCCAGGAGGTCTTCAGAGTGGCCAGAGGGAGGGAGGATATGAAAGGGGGTCTTCTGGTCTTCTGCTACTCACCAGAGCCAGGGCACCTCGGTTTGTGTCAATTTTGTACCATCTAACATTTCACATGGCTAAGCTTCCTTTTCGAAGCTTAAATAATCACTGCCTTCAGGATTTTCCTAATGTTCCCACTAGCTCTCGGCTTCTAGGCATTCACAAACCTTTATGTATGTCCATTGTATTCCCCTTGCTGTAACTTATCTTATGCTGTAAGAAAATAAATAGGGATGTTTTTATTTCACATCCGTTTTCTCTACACTGACAATAATACACGATGCATTTGAGGATTGGGAAAGAATGCTAAGAAATTCAGGTTCCCAAATATCCTCCTGAATGAGCAAGAATCATTCCGTTTATTCTTGAATGATTTGATTAATTGTAATTATTATCCTTTTTTTTATCATAGGAAGACTCAGTCTTTAGAACCATAGAGGTGTGAACACATATTCAGACCGCAAAGGTGTGAACACCTATTCTGAGCTCAGGATTTCTACCTTTCAAGTTAGAAATAGCAGAAGCCCCCAAGGCAGGGTTAGCAAAGCCCAACCAAATAACCCTAAAAGTCCAGAAGAAAGGTGAGTAGTAAGAAAACATACAGAAACCATGCTTGCTTGGTAGGCTGAGCTGGGGGAAATGAACCCCAGCATAACAAGACCCTGTGACCCCCAGCCCCCAGCCAAACTGTTCAGGATCCTGGACCAAATGAATAATGACCCTGGAGAACGAAAGGGAAAGACTCAGATCTGTGATGGACAGAAACTAGATAAACTCATGCGAGTTGTGAAATCCCCATCCGCTAGCCATACAGGTTGCCACTGCTTCATCTTCTCCATCCCCTATGGCTGGGGCAGTGTCAGAAAATGCTGTTCTTGAGAGGCAGGAAGCTCAGGATCCAAAGATTTCTTGTTATGATTTGACCATCTCCTTGGAAGCTTATGGTGTGACTTGAACCCCCAACTCATATGCTGTCGCTATCAGAGGTTTTCTGGGGGTGACTGAGACCAGCGAAGAGCATCAGGGTTGGGGGGGGGGGTAGAAGGTCATGACGGACCTAGTGGCTTTATGAGAAGAGGGAGACATACTCAGTCTGCCTGCTGGATGGCGTCCTCCCACCCTGTGGTGGATGCAGCAAGAAGGCCCTTTGCAGAAGTTGAGCAGATGCTGGCAGCATGCCATCGCATTACCCAGAACGATACAAAATAGGTAATTTTTTTTAAAGTTACCCTGTCTCAGGTACTTTGTTACAGCAATAGAATTGGATTAAACATTTTACGTATTTTCGACAACAGGAGAAGAGGCGAGTGTTCTAATTTCAGCTCTTTCGCTTGCTCACTGTGTCATTTTAGACAAGCAGACCCACCCCCAAACATGTTTCCTGATCCATGTATTCAGTTGTTGCTACATATGATAGACACTTCAAAAAGCTTTGGGTCCTGGAACTACAGGAAGGTCGAGTATGCCAGTACCATCATTTACAGATGCATGTTCTGGAACAAGTAATTAAATAGCCCCTTGTTCCAATTCCTCTGTCTCAGACATTGGAAACAAAGACTACCTATTCCCAAGAATAACCGTGGCTATATGGCAATTTACATTAGATGACTTTATTTAAATTATATCCAAATATGATATGACATAATATACATTTTTCAAAATTACATTAATCTAAATTAACATTAGTCAGTATTAATCTATATTTGGAATATGCTAAGAATAGATGAAAGGTAGATTATGTCTCACCCCATATACAAATATAAAAAAATTGCTGCTTCTTTCTTACATCATTAGGACAATGTTCATTCTTTGGTGTAGTGATATTTTGTTTGTGCTTTAACAAATAACTTGCCTGAAGATCAGAGTAAAGAGCTAAGCTGCAAGAGGCCAGGGAGCGGTGGCACACATCTTTAATCCCAGGAAACAGAGGCAAAGGGATCTCTGCTAGTTCAAAGCCACCCTGGGCTATACAAGATGGAATCTATCTAAAAGAGAAACAGAGCTCACACACCTTTAATCCCAGCACTAGGGAGGTGGAGACAGGAGTGATATGGCTGGGCGGAGAGAGGAATATAAGGTGGAGGAGACAGGAGCTTAGTACAGTCTGAGGAGGCAGCAGTCAGAAGCAGTCAGTCTGAGCATGCAGTCAGAGGATGCAGTCTGGGTACAGGATTGCTCTTCTGGTCTGAGAATTTGGTAGAGGTAAAAGGTCTCTCTAGTGGCTGGCTGCTCTGCTTCTCTGATCTCTCGGCTTTCAGCCCCTAATACCTGACTCCAGGCTTTTATTTAATGAGACCAATTAGAATTCATCTAAACTTTGGAGAACAGTGAAAATAGTTATCAATAATAATAAAATGAAATAAAATATATAAGTACACTTATTAGGTACCAACACTGTTTTATGCCCTTATCACAGATTAGCTTGTGTGTTTCCTTACAGCTATCCAAAGAAATAGACACTATCATCTTAGCTTTATAGGAGAATAATCTGAAGCAAATGGGGATGAAGATGACAAACCAGTATCTCAATTTGAAGGCATCACCTCTCCAAAGGTCATGTTCTTAACCACTGTGTAGACAAAACAGGGTACCAGACATGGGCCAATCATGATGATGCCCCATGCCTCAGCTCTTTGAATTTTCTCAAAAATGTAGACATTGTTACTATTACTGTTAACCAAGGAACCCAAGGCTCTAAGAGGATATTTCTCACTAGATCAAAGATTTTGAGCACCTGTGGAGAAGTTGGAACACTTCTGTCCTGAGCTGAGCTTTCTCTCTATTGGCAGCTGCTTCCTCATAGGCAGAAGGTGTTGTTCAGTATTCTGATTCTCTGAATTTTCTGTTTTCAACATTCAAGGTTCACCTCCTCTGAGGCCACCTCCCGCCAACAACATGCTTACTTCTTCCCATTTAAACACAGATTGCCTGTTTTCTGAGTTGTCTCGGAGGTCACCAAAACTAGTGCTGTCTCTGAGCTGTCGTCAATGAAACTCCAAGAATGGCAGTGATCAGCGGTTTTCTAATAATGGGCAATCTTTCCTCAACCAAGCCAGAAAGTTACAGATATCTGCTCTGTGACCACAACACAGTTTACATGTGTGTATTCTCTAAACCTTGAAGAAGATTTACTGAAGGTCTGAATTTACAAGGATACAGTGATATTGCAGATAACAGATTGCCTGAAACCAAAAATCCTGAACACAAAGACAGCTGTGCTTAGGAAGGGGAAAAAAACAATATCCCAAACTTAATAAATCACATACTACAGAATCGCCTTTTGGCTGGCTGACAACACTGACTTCAGGTAGGGTTTCTCTTTGCTCTATATCATTTTAACAGTGCTAACTTGTCTATGTAATCACACATTTGGTCATTTACCCATCTGTCTAGCCCCTAAACTTATCCATCCATCCATCCATCTATCCATCCATCCATCCATCCATCCATCCACCTAACAATTCTACCCTTGAAATTAACCCTCCCATTCATCTGATCATCTACTCACTTAGCCCTCCATCCATCCAACGACACATTCATTATCCACTCAAGCATCATTTAATTATTAATTAGAAAACTTTCCTGAGAGTCTACTAATATACCTGTCTCTGCCAAGTACTATAGATAGACAAACGAGATTCTGATCCAGACCACCTGGTCTAATATGAAAGCCAGGCAAGAAAATTACAGAGGAGACAATAATGATAGCTTCCACTTAAATAGAAGACAATCACGTATGTCCCAGATACTAGTGTAAGGCCATTGCAGGAGAGTGGGCAGGGGGATTGTAAGATTGTAAGGAGGCAGATGACTGGAAGGAAACAGTAGACACAGCAAGGCAGCTGCAAATATGATTGCACAGCCGATGATGCAGCATGCACAAGACA